TACGTGTTTCGTTTAAAATTAATAATTCAATAAATAATTACTTCTTTTGTGGTGAATACTTTTACTTCAGTTAGTTATAATATACAACAACAATAATTTTTACATAATATAACATTTGCATAGAGTAATATTGTTTTCGACATTGAAAGATAAAATAATTAATCTCTTTCCTTCTTTTTTTTTTGTTTTGCTTTCAAGAAGATTGTGAATTTTTGAAATAATGATTAATATGTTTTGATTTCAATAATTGTTAATATGAACAAGGAAATAGTAACCTTTACTCTGAAACGATTAAAATTTCGATTAATTGATGCGATACGTTGTGCATTCAAATTCGAGTTGCCAATAACCTCATCACATAACACTGATAATGTTTCCGACGCTTCCTTTTTGAAAATTTTGAATTATCGATTAATTTGAAATGTTAAAAAACCCCATGATGATAACAGTTTGTCGATAATCTATTACAATTATTTGTTTGGATCAGGAATAATCAATAATTGAAATTGATAAGCGATAAGAACTAATGATCATTGAACCTGTTCCTTTGGTGGTTCATAGTTGACGCTACTTGTTGACATTTCATTAATCATTTGATATGCCAATTTAGAGCCAGAATGAAATATGTGAAATGCTGTAGTTGCATCAGTTTCACGATAAGCTGTCATTGCAATACCACCCGGATGCTTCTTCAATGTTTCCTCATCGATATGCAACCATTTATCATTGATTTTGATATGAAATGGTTCTGTTATCACTTCACGTATTACCATATCTACAATTCCGGGAATGCTTCTTGATTAACATCGTACGTACTTTAAGCTTGCACATTTTGTATTTTCAAAGCGTCCTATTTCAGGCTGTCAAGAATTCCTGGAAGTGATTTCTCGATCAACGCAAATCAAGTATGATCTCTTTTCAACAAGCTTAGAAAAATTCTCATCTTATCATATTTAATGATAATATCACAAAATTATCATTATCATCAATCATTTCAAGTAACAAGTGTGCAAGTGTGATAGCAAATATGTTATTTGATAATAAAACTTAATAGATGAACAATCTAAAAGGATAAAAAAAAAAACATATGGAGTGCCATGAATCATTTCATAGATTGGTTGAATTTTTCTGTCGTTAAATTTAAAAATCACGTAAAAATAATATACAATACAGCAATACAGAATTAAATTTACACAAGAAAAAAAAAACTTTTTTTTTCATATTTATTTTTAGAATAATAGAATGTATTTGATAATAATATCAAGAAATTTAACAAACATCTGCAATGATTGAAATATACTTTCCGTTTTTTTTTTCTTCAATCTTTAAATTTCTCCTTTATCTCCTTCAAATTATATTTTTGGAAATTGAATTTATTCTATCGTTAATTTTTGAATATTTTACTGCATAATTTGAGCATTTTTTCTTTAGCTTACAATCAATTATTTACTTTTAAAAAATTGAGACTCATTAATTAACAAAAATGGAAAATACAAAATTAAAAAAAGAAACGGAAAAAAAAATGAGAAAGTTTGATAAGAGTGTTGCACCCATTAAATATTATGAAACAAAACAGTGAGATTCTTCAACGGTTCCGGAAACCTGTTGCTCTTTGATGTAAATGAAATAAACAAAACGTTACACCCATCTCTCTCTCTCTCTCTCTCTCTCTCTCTTTCTCTCTCTCTCTTCCCTTCCTACCAATCTTCTAACCAAAACGAATTTAACAATGGAATAAATCTTTCAGTCAATGAATAGCGACAAAATCAATACAAATATATAAAATTTAATATAGTTGTATGTGTAAGGATAATGAAAGTTATTAATTTAAAATAAAATTAATAAGTTTTAATGGTTCTAGTAGTATTGATATTGTTAAATTTATTGGTTTTAGGTGAAAGATTTAAATAATTGCAAAAAATTATCGTAGTATAAGATAATGAAGGAATAAAATAAA